TGACTCTTTGGGGGGGCAGGGAGTGGTACTGTGTCCCTTTGACCATTGGTCAGTTTTGGATCAGAAGAAAACAGCTTGAAATTCTGTTTAATTTACAGACCAAAGTTTAGAAAAATAACCCGTTTCCTTCCTGACTTTAATAGCACAAGTCAGTTAATGCTGTAAGTCAGCCCAAATTGTACAGTAATACCTGAGTTGAATAAGAAGCTGACCCAAAAGTTTCCTTTAATTTAATATAATGTGTCTTCAACTAGCTAGCTGTATGCTATCACAGGTTGCTACCACCAACTTTACTTGTGAATTTAAGAAAGCAAAATGAGGCCAGGGGATCTAGCTCAGTGGTTCGGTGGCCTGCCTTGCAAGCGCAAGGACCCGCGTTCAATCCCTGGTATCAAAAAAATAATAATAATAAGGCAAAATGCTTTTTAAATCCATATTGGAAATATCAAAGATGAAATTTACTTATTGAGATGTTACTCATTTGCCAATTAAAAAGGGTCATTATACTAGAAACACAATCAGCTAAGTAATGCTATTTCTGAGCTAAAAATATAATTCAGATTCTTCACCCCATACCTTTGATTTTGACATGTTGCATCTTTAAATTCATTTCCTTATTACAATTCAAATACACCCCTTCTGGATGTAAATTTTGTGACATAGACTCATTAATAGGACTGTTGTACTATGTCATGATTCATTATATATAGAAAGAATAGACCAATATTTTCCACCAGAGCACTTACGATGGACACTTTTATTCTTACTAAAGATTTCAAACAGCAAAATATTTATTCCATCATTCTTGCCATGTTTCTGAAGCAGTTCTGGATTGGCAGACTGTTTTGAGTTGTGAACATACCTAACATTTTCCCAACATATCTCTTGGAAAATACTTACAGATTAAACAATTGCATTACTTTCAAAATTTTATACTGGCTACTGTCTGTCATTTCCCCTTCTCTTTTCCTTATTTAATATATAAAGACAGATGCTATCAGCAAGTGAATCCACTAGATGAAGACATTTGCTCCTTCATTTCCCCAGGATTTTAGGTGAGAAGTTTCCATTCGGATCGAGAACTAAGGGTTCGCTAAAAGAGACAGTATTGTTAAAAAAAAAAAAATGTTCAAGCAAACCACTTTGTGATGTTTTATGTGACTACTAATTACAAATGGTTCTAGAGGCAAATTTTAATTCTTTCTCAAAGTAAGACTTAGAGAATCTCTCCTGGAAACTCTAACAGAGAACAAATGCCCCTACAACTATCCTACTTTTTTCTCACTAGTTTTCATGTCTTGTTTTACTGAAGGACTTTCCTCAAAAGTGTTATTTCACATTTCCAAATTGCTTTGAATCCTCCCCACTCTTTCTCCTGCTACTCGCAGACATTTGAGAAAGAAATATCTCTCCAAGGAGAAGAATAGCCTTTTTTGGTAGGTTTTTTTATTCCATCCTTGAAGAACTCACCACTCACTTAACTTTGCCTCTCTACAGTGCTGTAAAATCCCATTATAGGATACAATGGGGTGAAAACAAGGAACTACTTTCAGTGTTGTGAGCCCTTTTTTCACATTTTTTGAACCCTTTTATCCTCTGGAGCCCAAGTGTGTAAATCCCATCTGCCTCTAATGCTCTGAGGACTGCTTGTTGCAAAAGTCTTTATCTCCAATCCACAGTATTCATTTTAAACATGTTTGCTGATAATCTGTGGACAAACTCTCTCTGAAAAGGCAGACATCTGAAAAGGGAAAGTCTATCTAGATGATCATTGTAAATTTTGACACCCCTTCAAAACTATTTGAAATACATGGTTCTCAGCTGTGACATCTAAAATTTCACACTTTCTTAGTCAGTAAGCATTAGTATCATACTGCATTGTCTTTCATGTAAGTCCTCCTTTAAAATACTTTGTACTTGTGCCTGTTACTTGTTATTTCAGGACTCAATGATATTGGTAAATTTCAGAACCCAATGATATTGGCAAATTTCAGAGTGATATTAGCTGTCTTAGCACAACTGATCTGGGACTCACATTTAAAATTGTCCCTCCTTTCGCTGTTTACAGCTTTTAGTATGTGTGTCACATTCTCCCTGAAGAGCATCCAAACACCCCTCACATTGATCTTGCCTTTCAATTCCCCGGCTGCTCCTGAGGGACAGTCACATGGGTCTGTCCCTGTGCCTGCTTCCAGCCACTCTGGAACTGGCTGCCTGCTTTGGAGGTGTTTAGATGCTCCTCCCATTGCCCGTGACCTCTTGCCCTTGAGAAAGCATACCTCTCCCCCACAACAGACTTTGTTCATGAGGGCAGAACAGTTCGTGTTTCCTCAAAAGAATCAGTCTCTGGCTTTTGGAGACCTTACAAAATTAACACTTCCATTTGCTTTAGATGAGGTGGTGCTAAGATTTGTGTATGCTTAGAATGACAATCTTTTCTGGTTCCGTGATAAATTAGAACATTCAGGGAGCATAAAAATCACAATATGATGCCAAATAGCATGCTAAAGGATTCACTAATTATCTCAAGATATTTTAAAAGTAAATTGACTTGCTGACATAATTGAAACTCTTAAGTCTATGTTCCTTGCTTTGCTGTACAAAAGAAAAAAATCTAAGTACTCTCCTCAGCCCTTTAAAGTGAATTTGATGTTTGCCATATGGCTGTATTTTAAATTAAAAATCTAAAATCTAGCCTCCAAATGATGAGAAAATCCATTGCTGCAATAAAAAAATTCATGTGGAAAGTGCTGTTTATATCAATTTGGAGGAAAAGGCATTGCTCTGATAAATACATAAGATTATCTTATTACGGAGAATGCAAAAATCATATTCTTTAAAAAAAATACAAAACCTGAATTTAAATACATACATGTTACAGCCATTACTTTGGGCCATTTTCCTTCTTTCTCTTCTATGCCAGAGTAAAAAGCTCAAGTATGAAATTTCCATGCAAACCCCACAGTGTTAGCAGATAAAGTTCAGAAACTGTGAAATGGATTTTCAGCAAATATTTGAAGGACTAAGTCCATTTCAGTAGTATTTAATAAAGATCCCATTTTCCTATGAGCTATGAGCTCCCTCAAACTCTCACTCAAAAACTGAATTCCTTTGTAGGGCTGAGGATGTAGC